CCGGTCCGGTCCGGTCCGGTCCGGTCCGGTCCGGTCCGGTCCGGTCCGGTCCGGTCCGGTCCGGTCCGGTCCGGTCCGGTCCGGTCCGGTCCTGGTTTTTTCGACGCCATTTTTTTTCTGTTGTTATTGTTTTTTTTTTTCGTTTTCAAAAGGCCATCACGCAACCAGGTTACGATCTCAACTGAAACATGTACGAAACTTTACTTCTTGCTGGGGCGGTAACCCTTATCGTTTTGTGGTTAAGTTTAAAGTTTTTTGCACAACGAAAAGTGCAAAACTTGCAAACTAAATATGTCTTCATTACTGGATGCGACTCGGGCTTCGGTCGTGAAACCGCCATTCGTTTGGACAAGATGGGAGTTCATGTATTGGCCGCCTGTTTAACGAAGCAAGGAGCACAAGATTTGAAATCGGTGACGAGCGACAAACTGAAAACATTTCAAATGGATGTTACAGATTCTCAGCAAATTAAGGACGTATTCAGACAAGTGAAGAACTTGCTGCCCTCGGGACAAGGTAAGGGAAAGTATTGACCTCGGCGCCCGTACATAAAACGACAAAGATCCACCGAGGGAATAATTCTGGTGTTAATTGAACTAGGCTGGCTGGTTTTCACTAGCGACGGAGTCAGAATCGGAGCAGTAGTCGGAGTTGTACCCATGTAAAGCTCGGTGGAATCGTATGGAGAATCAGAACGTTTCCATTTTCTTCCGATTCCACTTACAACTCCGTCCCTAATGATTCAGTAGGGAGTTTAAGCAAACCACGACGACGACGGCAACCAGAACGTCACCAAACAAAAGGTTTACTGAGCAGAACAATGGCTGTTCATGTACGTTGTAAATCTTTTTTCATTTCTCTGCCGTCCTCTGCAAAACAACAACGTGAAACGACCAAATTCTACGTTGTCTGAAGAACGTGAAACACCAGGGTCAATGTTTTAAATTTTTATTTCAAATTTATCGCTGTGTTCCGGATTTAGTTTTGTGACGGTTTTGATAGTGATAAACAAAGTAAATGACTTGAGAGTATCGCAAGATTCGTAGGTAAAATATAAAATCGTTTTTAATCGACGTTGTCCTCGGCGTCGCCGTCGTGGTTTCTTAAACTCCCTATTCTTTAAGGTTACTGTAGACCTTCAACGGCCGATTTTGTCCAAAATATTTTTTCACACCAAATTCAAGGCTTCTTCTTATCTGAATTTTGTAAAGAAAATTATTTTAAAAGCATTAAATACGAACGAGTTATCCACAAAGACGTGAGTCAAGTGTTTATCACGAGTTGATCCCAGCCGTCTGTTGAAATGACCTTTTTCAGGCCGTTACACGCACCGTTGGTTTCATTCACGTGAGTGCATGTAAAAGACAAGTGGTCACGTAATAACGTAAAGCTAAGTTGCCTCACGTTTTGTTTGGGAGTTTGTTGAGTTTCGCACTTTCTAGCAAGATACAATCCAAGATATGTTACAGAGAAGAGTTCAACAGATGCAAAATCCATCGCATGGATAAGATCTGCCTCGAACTTGACACATTTGAGGAATTTGCAACAGCTGTGCTGCAAACTTTGGCCTTCCGCGCCAAGAGATGTTTGTCATGACATGATCATTTTTTTAAAATCACGTAAATGCAACCAACAGTGCGCGAAATGGCCTGAATAGCCTGCAAATAAGAGAGTGTTCTAGTAGTGCAACAAAATTTCACCATTGAAATACTAGTGACTATTTACTCTCCGCTTGACTAAATTTCAGGCGTATGGGGACTGGTGAACAATGCTGGCATTGCCATAGCAGGACCAATAGAATGGACACCGCTGGAACATATGAAGCGCAGCGCAGACGTCAATTTGTGGGGAATGATTGACGTCACTAAGACCTTTCTGCCGTTGATTAAAAAGTCCCAGGGAAGAGTGGTTAATATGTCGAGTCTTGCAGGTGAGGTATACCGTAAATGCTCGAATTAGCGCCTCCCCCTAGTACACAGGGCCATGGCATCAACTAGCTAGCCTGCAAGCAGGCTCACCTTTAAGTCACACGCGCGAGCGGCTAAGAGCAAAGCGATCCGGTGGGAAGGAGTCTGATGAGGAGGCGCCCAGAAAGTGATCTCGCGGCTTCGCCCCTCGATTTGGCCATATCAGGAGCCATAATCGGGGACGGAGACCGTAAGCACGCGCCATTTCAAGTATTGTGGTTGTCCCCATGATATGGGACAATAATTCTATTTTCACATGCTGCGAGGATTTTTGCGGATGTCGCGCGGGGGAAATGGCGTCCGAAATTCCCGAAATGTTTCATGTTTTTGGCCCACAACTCAATGCGTTTAC